CTCTCTCTCTCTCTCTCTCTCTCTCTCTCTCTCGTCTTTCTTTCTTCTCTTTTTTTGTTAGTCCTGGGGCTGGAAATCAGGGCCTGGGCACTGTCCCTGAGCTTCCTTTGCTCAAGGCTAGCCACCCTAGCCACACTTGAGCCACAGCGCCACTTCCAGCTTTTTCTGTTTATGTGGTGCTGAGGAATTGAACCCAGGTCTTCGCGCATGCTAGGCAAGCACTTTACCCACTAAGCCACAGTCCCAGCCCACTTACCTGTTTCTTGAAGTATCCAATTGCATATTCGTCAGCGTATGTGAGGAAGTTGAGGATGTCGTGTTTTATGTGATATTCTTTCAGATGATTCATCAGGTGGGTTCCATAGCCCTGTGCACAAGTTAGCATGCAGACAAATAGATTAGGTCTTGGAGAAAAGAAAATCCTACAATCTTGCCAGGAAATGTTGGCAAACTAAAGAGATTGTGCTTGGAGATACATATATACATATATATGTATATATATGATCATAACATATTTTACCATAACATGTGTGTGTTGTGTATGTGTGTGTGTGTGTGTGTGTGTGTGTGTGTGTGTGTGTGTGTGTATTACCAACAGAGACTCTCCTGGGGGAAATTTAATATTAACAATTTATAACAATTTCTGAACTTTGAAAATGAGGGAGAGAACTATAAAAAATCTTCAAAATTCTTGGTTCAAGATAAAAAAACAACATTGGAAAATATGTTTTTGCTTCTTTGGCCATAATACACTGAAACTACAAACTCAGATACAAAAATTCCTAGCTAAAATGTTAAATTCTCATGGAGTAAATACTTTTAATGAATTTCTGCTTAATTTTGAAAGTATTTCAGAATCTTAGATTTAAAGAAGTGTATAAATAAAAAGTGCTAATGATCACTAGAATATCACTAATCCAGGTGTTTTGCTCTGTATTACATAATATCAACCCTTCTAAAATTACTGTGGAATTTTTTTCTTTTTCTTTTTCTTCTTCTTTTTTTTTTTTTTTTGGTGCCAGTCCTGGGACTTAAACCCAGAATCTGGGTGCTGTCCCAGACTCTTTTTTGCTCAAGGCTAGTGTTCTACCACTTAAGCCACAGCTCTACTTTCAGCTTTTTTTTTTTTTTTTTTTGGTGTTTAATTGAAGGAAGACTTTCCTGACTGTGCTGACTTTGAACAGTGGCTTCTCAGATCTCAGCCTCCTAAGTAGTTAGATTACAGACCTGAGTGGGCCTGAGCGCCCAGCATACACAGAATTTCTAAGCTGCTATCATCAGACCTTTTCAAGAAAGACCTGGTGGAACTGGGGGCAGTTGGTAGATTGCTAGCCAATGAGCAAAAGCAACAGGCAATCAGGTACAGAGTTTGAGTCCTGGTCTCCAACCAAGAAACAAACAAACAAAAAAGAATAAGGAAAAGAGGACTGCAAAAGCCCAGAATCTCCAGGTCAGCCAGAACACACTAGCTATGTAATTTTAGCTATATAATTTTATAGAGATAAATAGCTATATAATTTTAAACTTATCAAGACCAAGGAGTTTTAATATGAAAAATATATTCTAAAACCTGATAAGGTACTTCAGGTATATTTTCAAATATTACCTTTTATGTGTTCTTAAACCAGATAAATTCACATGTAAGTATTAAAGTACTCACAGGAATTAAAAGATAACTTTGATTCACCTAAATGACTGGACAAAATTTTATTTCCTCTTACTTATACACACACATATTATTTTGGGGTTTGAACTTAAGGCCTTGCTCTTGCTCAGCTGGCGTTCTACCACTTCAGCCACACCTCTGGCCCCTGGATATAATTTTAAAGACATAGCCACACATTTAATATAGTAAATACAGATTTGCTGACTTCACAAGCAAGTTCTACTAGCACTGGGATTCACTGAGTTTTACCTCACGGTGAAGCAGAATGTCTGTGTGTTCCAGTGTGAGGGGTTGGCAGATGCCTTTGAAAATCTAAGTATCTAAGGTAGTACCTGGCTCCAGAGTTGGTCATTAATTATTAACTAAAGACACGGGGCAATGAAAAGACAGGAAATTAATGATGTAACTGTTTCTTCCATTTCTATTTGTACTAAACAGTTGGTCCCTAAAAAGGTAATGTATCCATTATACACATAAATATACAAAATATCTTTCATCAATTTGTTCATCCTGTTCTATTTTGTAATATTAATCTTCATTTTCTAAAACGACACTTTCAGATCACTAACAAAGAAATGACTTTATTTTTCTAGGGCTTTCTACTGAATTTATGACATTTTTTTCCAACTTCATTCAAGTCTTTAAAATTTTACAGTGTAGGGAATACAACAAACTGCCCTTGTGAGAAGTAACAAGACAAAGCAGCAACTCATATTCTGTTTCCCTGTGGCATCCCTAAAAGTGTCCAAATCAACCTTAATTAACCTTTCCAAACAAGGTGCTTGCTATAGCTGTGTGCCTCTGTGTCTGTCTATGTGTCTGTGTGTCTCTGTCTGTCTCTGTGTGTCTCTGTCTCTCTGTCTCTCTGTTTCTGTCTTTCTTTCTCTTTCTCTCTCTCTCTCTCTCTCTCTCTCTCTCTCTCTCTCTCTCTCTCAGATGCATGCACATGTGCATGCTAGACCTGGGGCTTCAACTCAGGGCCTGGGTGCTGTCCCTAAGCTTTTATGCTTAAGTTTAGCTCTCTACAACTTAAACCACACACAGCCCTCCTTCCTGATTTATGGTAATTAATTGGAGATAAGAGTCTCAAGGACTTTCTTGCCTGGACTGGCCTTGAACCACAATCCTTAGATCTCAGCCTGCAGAGTAGATAGGATTACAGGCGTGAGCCACCAGTGCCTAATTCTTGTTATACCTATCTCTAAAAACACAATTTATACAACTGAGCCTGGTGGCCATGCCTGTAATCTTAGCGCTTGGAAGGAAGTAGGAGAATCAAGAATTCAAGGCTAGCCAGGGAAGG